TACTGGATTACATTTTCTTTTAGTTAGAAGGCAAGCACTCCAGGAGCTCAGATGTCTGTATAGTTGCTTCCTGTATCTGAAAATGTGTTGTTGGGAAACATGATAGGAGTGTCTCTGTTGCTATTGGCAGGTGTGAATTCACAGACCTTCCCTAAAGTATGAGATGAACTTAGAGAAATGGCAGCAGAATAGTACATGGAATACATAATATAGTGTCATCCTTCCCCCTCCTACAACAGTTATAATTCACCCTGGCAATGGCAACAGAGACACTCCTACTATGTTTCCCAACAACACATTTTCAGATACAGGAAGCAACTATATAGACATCTGAGCTCCTGGAGTGCTCGCCTTCTAACTAAAAGAAAATGTAATCCAGTGTTTTAATCCTACGGCTTAAATATTGTACTCTATCTGCTACAAGGTTGGACCAGAAAACAGATCTCATTTTCCTGAACAAAAGGTACAGCAATTATAAACACTGTATGATGCAGCCTATTCCAGAGCTGGATCTGAGTGGATGGATTCCATGGTCAAATATGAGTGCTTCCACCACTTGCCATATCATGAGAGAACCTGCATATGCAGTTCACCAGCCACTGAAAATATTTTCCATATTTTGTTCAATTGCCAATGATGTGCACCTATTAGGTTTAAATATTTATCATCCTTATTGGAAAGAACAGCATACTGGAATCCAAACCACAGATTATTTCCTCCTGGGTTCTAATGTGCATATTGTATGCAGAACTGCTAAGTTTATAACTATGGCAGCAATCTTAAGAACCCAATACATTGAACAAATTGGGGTATCCTGTAAGGGAGATTCACTTATCTGATTACTGACTCCTTGTATTATCACAGTTGTATTTTATCACTGTATTTTCACCTGTCTGTTTTCCTTTTTGGAATTGGACTATGTATTGTATATTGCATGATTTTAATTTTGTTTTGTTTTATTGATAAGGTCATGGAACTAATCAATTAATAATAACTAAACTAAGCTAACCAGGGCAATCATATTAAATTTCTCCACAATTTTCTCTTTTTCAAGTTTTTATTTCTGTCCTTCTTTCCAGGCCCGTGTGGTGGCAGTGCTGGACTGGGAACTTTCAACTTTAGGCCATCCTCTGGCAGACTTGGCTTATGCGCTTGCCTTTCACTTCTGGCCCAGAGCCCTCATACCCATAAAAATGGTTAATGTACAGAACATAAATGGCATTGCAGGTATGTGTCTGCTTTTTCTACTCTACTTAGCACCATGTTTTAAAAAATAAAATGTGAAAAACCATAATGATGGGCTATTCTCACTACAACCAGCTCAGTATTGTGCATCTCAAATACATTTCATCTGCTCCAGGCTCTCAGAATATAACAGAGGGGCAGAGCTAGGTTCAGCCTGAGCTCTTCTAGAAGGTTCCAACAGAAGACAATATATGTAGCTCAGGGTTGAACTGTGGAGTGCTCTGATGATGTTGCCTAGTCAGGTAATGAAACGTCTGCAAGCAAACAACCAAGCTTAGAGAGCACCAAGGACTCCACTGTCTTCTAGAAGGGCTAGGCCTGCAGCTTCCATAATGGCTAGGAGCATGTCTGGAGAGCACCAGATTGGGGAAATTGACTTAGGGACTTTTTATTTTAGGAAAGGTATCGGTCTTTTTTTTCTTTTTTAAGGCTATTGAATGTGGAAGATAGGATTTTATCACAATCATGATGAAAAGGAGCGTATGAAACAAGATCACAAAATGGAAATGTGGTTAGGCTGAGCCTGCAATTCAGAAGGCAGGGATATAAGGAATTCAGCTCCACTGAACCCAGTAATAGTATATATATTGGTAGGATAGCACTGCAAATCATATCCTTTTAAAGTCTATTATGTAATGGCTTAGTTTAATCAGGAAGGATCACAGTTCAGCTTTATCATATTCCAATAAAGTGGGAGTGCAAGAATGTTCATACAAGGGTGTTGGTGCAAGGGGAATTCTTTATCTGTTTCTCCCACTGCAGTTGTATGCATTGTGCCAAATAGTTTCATTGATATTAAACACACAACCTCTTTAGGAAAGGCCTGCAATATGGAATGGGAAATTTCCCTTAAGGAAACATTCTTCTACAAGCATTTCATTAAATATAACCTTTGGCCTGGTAGTACCTAGCTGTGCTTAGCTGATTTAGAAAGCTAAGTGGAATCAGGCATGGTTAGTACTTGGATGGGAGATCACCAGGAAGTTCTAGAGCAACTAAGACTGGGAAGTCTAAAAAACATGCTGAAGAAGACCCTGGCAAACCATTTCTGTATCAGACCAAGAAAATGTTTATGTGACGTGAAAATGCTGACCTCTGCTCAAAGGTAATTCTATAATTTTGTTATCTAATGCTGATAGCATGACATGAAAAAAGAGCTACCAATATATGTGTTTATTTACTACATCTGTGATGTATGTGATCTAATCTGTAAATGATACCGCAAAGCTTAATGCTGACATAAACACATTTATTTGCTTTTCCTAGGAATTCCTTCCTTTGAAGAACTGATCATGATTTATTCTCGCTTCAGGGCTACCAGCACTTCTCCACCCAACCTTAATTTTTTTCTTGCTCTTTCATATTTTAAGTTGGCTTCAATAAGCCAGGTAACATATACATATCTACCCCTTATCTTTTAATGTCAAATGGAATAACTACTAAGCCTGGTCTGAAAAATATTAATGCATTTTTTTGTAAGTGCTTTTACTCATAACCACATTATGGTAAGATTCCAGATTTCATTTTTTACTTGAAGCAGAGCAGTTGTTTGAGTAATATTAAATACTATGCTGTTGGTGAGTCCCTACAAGTGATGTCATTACCGTGCTTCAAACAGACCTTTAGAACCAATGTAATGTAATGTAATGTAATGATGAAGGTGTCAGAATAGGATTCATGAGACTGTGGTTCAGTTCCCTACTTGACCATGTTGCTCGGAGGACGTCCCTGGGACGCTTATCATCTCTCAGCCCAAACTAATTCACAGATTATAGTTGGAAGAATTAAATGAAAGGAGGGATCTATTTGCTCTGCTTTAAGTTTCAGAGTATAGGCATAATAATAATTAAGAATAAGAATAACTGAAGAAATAATAAAACATTAAATTTGGATTATATGAGAAGAGGAAGAAAAGATTATCTTTTTTTCAAACCACAGTTTCTGTACAGTAACTGTGGTTTGAAAAAAGATAATCTTTTCTTCCCTCTCTCATACAATCCAAATATAATGTTTTATTATTTCTTCAGTCATTATTATTGTATGGCCTTTACTATTTCTAAATAATAATCCTGCATTCCTCATGCATCTAGAAACAACTAATCACAGAAGGTTTTTAATGTGGCCTGGTGCAGTGCTCTTCCATCAGCTGTTAGAGGGAAGAGACAGGAAGATTCCTCCTTCCAGAATTTTTGCAAGGATAGACAGGTTGAAACCATCAAGCCTATCTTTCTCTACTGCTCAGTTAACAGAGGCATTGTAGTACTCTTACACTCTCATTACCTACAGGGCCCAAACCCAATTCTAATCCGTTTCTTTCTGGCAGTGTTTCCTTAATAACTCACAGGGTTGCTATATTCTGTGACAATGTTTCTCAGTCTCAGCATCTTTAAGATGTGTGGACTTCAACTCCCAGAATTCCCCAGCCAGTATGCTGGGAGATGAAGTCCACATATCCTAAAGTTGCCAAGGTTGAGAAACACTGTTCTGTGTAGTAATGTGGGTAAAATTCAGCAGGAATTGACTAATAGCTAGTGTAAATCAGATCGGGTACATCCTTTATCTAGAACCCAGTTCTGTCTTCTTGTTATATAGCTTTATAGTTTTTAATATGGATAGCATAGAATATTATTTATTACTTTTCTTATAGCAAATAGTGATTACTGTAAACCAATTATTACCTTAAATTTCATCAATCTTATGTTGCATAGGTTTGAGTTTCACAGTATTTTCATAATTTTTATGCTGTATGTCATTATTTTGTAATTCTATAGCTATTATTTATATCATTTATAGGCATAGGCCATTGTTAAGTTACTTCTGATAATCTTGCTGCTCACTTGGTAGGTTATCCGTTTTTTACCTTATACTGGTCCAAGATTGAAATAAGTAGAGATCTTGAATAATAATTAAACATTCCTCTGTCATATGCAGTTTCAGTGCTGAGCTATCTGTTAAATTCCACATCTTGAAATTACTTATTCTTTAGGGTATATATGCCAGATATCTCCTGGGTAATTCCTCCGCAGAAAACAGCTTGGAGTTCAGCAGTGCGGTAAAACCTCTGGCTGAAGTTGGATTACAGGTAGCAAAAAAGTAAGAATTGACTGTTGAAAGAATTTTAAAGATGTAACTTGTACCTCTTGTGCTTCAAATAGGCTCCACAAGTCCTTTACCTTTTCTTTATTGCTATCCAGTGCTACACTGCCTATCTCTGTAATAAATTCATGAGAGCAGTGTTTATCTGTGGTAGGGCTAACAGACTGGAGCTGCAGAAATACAGATGGCTATTAAATGGCAGCAGATATAGCAGTTTTCTGCGTCTCTTTGTGTCTGGATTTTGCAGCCCAGATCATGTAGTCCTATCTGAGGTGCAAGTTTGCCCTTTCTCTAGCATACCTGTAGGACGCTTTTATTATCATATCATATGTTGTTTTCTTTTAGAACAACTTTCAGCACTGCCACGCCTCCTTGTAATTCTGGAGAATTGTTCAGTCAGTCCCCAGAGGGGAAGAAGATCCTCCAGAGAGTGAAGGATTTCATGAAAGAGCATGTTTTTCCAGCTGAAAAGGTAAGCTGTACCATGAATAGTTATTAAAAGAGGAGCAGATCAACATCTTATCATTCCGTTATGAAAAGTTTGGTGGCTTAATATTCCAGATGATTCAGATGAAAGCTAGTGGAAGGCTGGAAAGACCCCAGTTTTGATATGATGCCTCGGTTCACAATTGTGGTTCTCTATTCTCCTTAGCTATATACTGCTGTTCTAGGAATCTGGCCTCTTTTTATCCTAGATGATTTCACCCTAGTTAAGATAAAGTGTCATGGAGCAGTCATTAAGGAGAGATTTCAAGTTGTGCTGTTCTTCTTATCCCTGAACCACTTGCAAACCTCCTGATGTCAGTGCCCCTCCTATCACATTAACTGCAGTGCTGTAGCCCATATCAGAGAGCTGAAAGCTGTCTCCCATTTAATTTCCCACAATGCCAAGAGTGACCAAGTGGTCTGTTTTGCAGAGATCAGTCCTCTACTTAAGGCGGTGTCAGAAACCAGTTCTCAGTTTGTCTTTGGTCTTCATAACTGTACAAGTCCAGCTTACGTATAAGGAAACAAGTCCTAACACCAGTTTGAAACCATAACTTGTTTTAAGCCTATGGCATCTAAAGTCTAGCAGGAGAAGCTACTCCCAATTAAAGTCTTCAGATGGGTTGGCACGAGAATGCTCATACGGATACATTATTTTATGTTTACTGTGTAGGAGATGGTTGAGTATTATGCTGGAAAGAAAAATTCGCCAGATATATGGAGAAAACCTGCTGTGATTGAGAGACTCAAGGTACTCATTTTTCTGTCTTTAGTGTACTGTAACAGAAAGATCTTATATGATGCAGTTGTGTACCTCTGCAAATATCACTTAAAGCACAGGTTATAGTTTTTATTCCAATGAAAGTTGCACTTTACAGAGTGAATGTAATTTATGAGTCTAATCTACAAGAGAGCTAATTTGGTTGGGTAGTTTAAGGCACCAGGCTAGAAACTGGGAGACTGTGAGTTCTAGTCCTGCCTTAGGTACAAAGCCAGCTGGGTGACCTTGGGCCAATCACTCTCTCTCAGCCCTAAGAAGGGGGCAATGGCAAACCATTTTCAAAATCTTGCCAAGAAAACTACAGGGACTTGCCGAGGCAGTCGCCAGGAGTCAACACTGACTTGAAGGCACACAAACAATCTACAAGTCAGATAAAATGATACATTTGTTTTAAAATACTTTAATTCCAGTAATTTCATCTGTAAACAGACTAAAATGAAGTTTTCAGTCCGCTTTACTATTTTATGTTTGAGGCGGATTTGAAACTAAAGTACTGACATGGAAATAAAACTTCCTGTCCTGGTTTATAAGTCACATTAAGCCATAACATAGCTTAGCTAAGTTTATTATATCTTAGCATATTATGTTAATGTCGTGAAGGACTTCCTAGCATATATATTGAGAATGAGATTGTGTGGGACCAGGTTTTTGTTCTATAGGATTGGTGATATTACCCTTAAGTACATACACAGAAACATTCCAGAAATGATGTGAACATCCAAGTTAATTGTGATTTTATGAAATTATAGCTCACCTTGTCTCATCTGAAAATGACCTAAGATATAACAATATAGAACCATGAAGGCATAGTATAATGCTCAGTAGGAATTATTCCAAAATATTATTCTTGCAGGGAAATGCAACAGCTTAATTTTTCCCAGGAAAGTTTAGAATGCACATGCATTGAAAATGTAATAAGCCTATGAAAGAGTAGAGATTGATACAAAGGTATCTGGATATGAATAATATGCATCTGATTTGATTTATATTTCATATTTTCAATTATAATTAGCAAGTGACAATAATTTACAGTGTAAAATGCACAACTATAAATTAAGATATGGAAGCAAAAAAATTTAAAACTGAATCAGTAAAAACAAAGGGAATCAGATTAGCAAATGTTTGAAATTAAACATTTGCAAAAGTTTAAAAGTCAAAAAACTTGGCTGAATGGCAATAGCTATGTTTGCTAGGATTGGACAAATCTTTCTGTTATACTTCCTGTATTTTTAATATTCTGAAACATATTTTAGTCTGCCCCATTTTTTACCATTTTTATTTATTTAAGCTAAAAATCTGCATGAAAGTATATATTCGTTTTTGATTCATTTTTCCTAGTATGTGCATTCTTAAGTACACTTTTTTTTTGTAAATTAGAGAACTATATTGCAAAATCTGGAAAAGTGTGAAAACATCAGGGATTTGTATTCATGAATTTGTATTCACCCTATGCAAATTAGGGAGATGCATATGAATACTGGAGCCAAGTGAATTTCTTCCCTATTTGCCTACCAACAAAAATATGTTGGAGAACTATAATTCCAGCTGGTACCAGGGACCGCAAGGTCCTAGTCATACACTGGGAAGAGAACTGGATGAGTCTATGGAACTAATCTTATTGTTTTCAGTGCTCCATCAGTGACAGTCTCTGGTCCTAGGACAGCAGATATCCCTAAGAGCCTTTCCTCATTGGTATCTAAACGTAGATGAACATGTCCCAGCAACCTCTATTTACTGCTATACCCACATCATGTTGCCTTCATCTTACCTCCAGCCCATTCCTGAATAGTCCTTTAGCTGTTCCAGGTGTAAAATATGCTGCTTAAATAAGGGACAAGTCATGGCAGCTTTAGTGTGGATTCAAACTGATGTGTTTCATTGTTGATTCTGTTGGTGATGCTGCCAGATGACCCTAGGGGGTGGGATTGGCCCAGCACCTATGGGTCACTTTAAGCTGGTGCGGCATACCCTTCTGTCTTTGGGTAGTGTCCTCTGGAGCTCTTCTGGTTTGGGCAACAGTTCTTTCAAACATCTTTCTAGAGCCTATGGAGCAGCTGTCCAGTGGTGGGAATGGGGAGGGTTTTGCAATCAAATGGGTGGACGAGAGGGAGGGAGAATGAGAGAGAGAAACAGCTTCTGGAAGAGCACTAAATCATTGATCAAAACCAGCCTTAAAACAGTTGGTAGCTGCACTCTTACTACGTTGACAGCCCCTCGCACCCACACTTTTCAGTTGTTATTTTGGCCGTTGTTGAACCCTCATTTAGCAGCTTCCAAAAAAGTGTTAACCCCATGGGGAAGGTTGTGTAGTGCACCAGGAATCCTATAGCAGAACTTTTTATATGGTAATGTTTGTGGTGTAATTTAACTTCCACATTCCTGTCTCAGTTAAAATGTTAGACTGATTGTTGAATTACCTGGTGCATCTATCTTTCTCTGTTCACCAGGAAAAGGCCAAAGCAGAAGGCCTCTGGAATCTTTTCCTGCCAGCTGTTAGTGGTCTTGGTCAGTTGGACTATGCATTAATAGCAGAAGAGACTGGAAAGTGCTTCTTTGCTCCTGAAGTATTCAACTGTCATGCACCAGGTGGGAGACTATCTTACTATCTTGTCGGAATTTTTATCACTGTTATGTTGTATGCTGGATAGAAGAGGAACTGCTGTTCCAACCTTTCTTCTGTCTTCCAGACACAGGAAATATGGAAGTTCTCCACTTGTATGGAACAGAAGAACAGAAGAAACAATGGCTGGAGCCTCTTCTGGAAGGAAAAATTAGTTCTTGCTTCTGCATGACAGGTGATTGTTTAATATTTTAGACATGAAAATATGCATATGTAGTAGAGAGAAAATCTTATTTTAAAAATTTTGGGTTGAATCCAACATGCTAGAAATTCTTCAGTTTCACTAAAATTAATCCAAAGGAATTTAACCATGATTAATTTGCTCTATCAGTATCAGCAAGGCTACAGCATTAGTTACACTGTATTTCTATAAATACAACTTCCAACAATAAAACAGAATTAGCTTCCAACTCACTCTGAAGTATACTCTCAGCTCATCACTACCATGTATCACTCTTGTAGGAGATAGGAGAATGCAATTTTTGCATTTTAAACCTCCCCCCTTTATAGCCAGATAGCTTTCCAGGTCCAATTCAAAGTATTGGTAACTTCTTACAAAATACTATATAGCTTGGGACCTGGGTATCTTAGGGACTACCTTTTTCCAACAGTTCCCGCCCATCCTACTCAGATGACTAGGGAAACCTGGTAAAAGGTCCCCACCTACCAGGTGGTATGGCAAGAAGGAGCCTGATGGCAGGCACTCTCTGTCACAGCTCCCCTCCTGAGGCAAGGATGGCTCCCACCCTCCTGGCCTTCCAGAAGCAGCTGAAAAGTTGGCTCTTCTGGAAGGCCTTCGGGGATAAACTGCAATCAGCAGTACCCTATTCCAGCTAATGAATTTTAGCTTATTAATAGTTAATTGAATTGCCAGTTGGGTTGGAAGTGTTAATTAATTATTACGTTGAATGTGTATTGTATTGTATAGATAAGCTCTGTAACTACCTGGAGCCCAATAAGGTTTCAGGTGATAGACAAATCTCATAATTCACTCACTGACTTACTCAGAGAGGGTAATGAGAGAAGAAGGAAAAAAACTCTTATAGTTCATCTCTGATGCCATGTCCATCAATCCTTGTATGTGTAGAAAAATAAAATCTGTAAGGTCTTTTATTTTTGCTACGGCTTCAGTTGTGGTAAATTCTGATGTTTAATCTAGAACCTGATGTTGCATCAAGTGATGCCACCAATATGGAGTGTAACATTCAGAGAGATGGAGACAGCTATCTAATCAATGGCAAGAAGTGGTGGAGCAGTGGTGAGTAAAAATATTTCCTATAGCAGAAGTTTAGTCAGTTTTCATATTAATATATCCTTCTCTTCAAGTGGACTGGAAATACAGGTTTCTCTTGTTTTGTTTACCTGTATTTGAACAATTACATACTAAAGGTTAACTGTTTATTTCATCTATTGATGAAGTTATTCTTGATCCCAGGATATGGGTTGAGCATGCAGTGGGGTTTAGGAATGAACTCTATTCCTGTGAGAACATAAGAACAGCTTTGATGAATCAACATGTCCCCCCATCATTCTGTGGGTCCAGATCCTTCATCCAGTTCACCCATGGAGTTCTATAAATGGCAGCAAAGCATTTGTGCCTCAAGTGTCCCATACCTGTATGTGTAATGACACCTTTTTCGTAACAGTATGAAATCACAGATGTATTGAAGGCTGCTTTTGTAAATAACAACAATAGCAAAACATTTAGTAGTATTCAGGTGCTATTTGTATACTGTATTATTAGTAGGGGAAATCTGAGTAATATATTTCCATCATAATTTACCAGTGATATTAAAACATCATTGTCTGATTTTAACAAGTCATCAATGCTGTAGTCCTGTGAGAACAATCCACATTAAATTGAATGAAACTCCTGAATACATAGCATTGTATTGTGACTTATAATAGCAATACTTGGGTATCTTTATGTGGGAACTATGAGTAAATAAAAAAGATCTAGTCCACTTAGTGATGGACCTACTTGCTCTTCATTAGGAATAGGATTGTTATTAGTATGACTTGACTTCCAGATAGTGCCATGTGATACAATTAATATATTCTGAGGTTGCTTTAGAGTAGGATTATTATTCTTTTAAAAGTATCTCCAGAATCTCAATCTCTCTGTTTCTATAATATATTTTCAAAAATTATGACAGGATTTTGTCTATAGAGGAGTGGTGCACTTTTGCGTCTATTTCGTTACTGTAAAGAATAATGCTTTCCCAGCATAGCAAAGGCAGACTGCAGGAAGCTGTTATTGGTGAAATGCCAAAAAAGAAGTTACTTATCAAGGCTAGAGTACATAAGTACACAATCTCAAGGCAACAGCATGTGATAATTGCAAGGATAGAAAAATATGGAGAGATATAGTGAATGGGGTTAGTGTAAACGAAATGTAACTTTTTTTCTTTTTCTAGTCTCATTTCTGTAATTTCTTCATCTTACTGTGTCTTACTCCTTTGCATAGCATGGCTTACCCTGAAAGAGTAAAGTGTAATGGATATGTATGTATGTATGTACAATCAAGTAGCAATGATTTTGCTTAAACCTAGTAGTTTTAGTAACTATAATCAACATAACCTTTCCGAAATCTCATAGTTCATCCAGAGCAAATAGACACTGAGCAGCTAACATGAAAAAAGTTAAATGCTCTCTTCCTATCCTTTTCTAAATTGTAAAGCTACTGGTTTGCTCTGCAGGATCTTCACAGTCCATGGGGATCTCCTCAGTTACCATGCTGCCTTGTCTTTTCCAGCACCCATAATGTTTTGCTATGTTGATGATATGCATTTTGAACGAGGCTCCCATAAAAAAAAACAGGATAGGATTCAGGCAGCTGTGAAACAATGCAAGGGTCTCACTTACTTGCAATGCAACATCAGTGTTTTTGATTATCCTGCAATCCTGGATGAGATGGAGGATCATGTGCATGGTTTTCCAAAACTTCATGATGTTGTAAGGCAGCTGGGTGAGGATAAAGGCAATGACAACTGCTGCAAGGACTTTCAGAGGCTGGGATTTTTTAGCTCTGGGGCTTTTGAGGAGAATTCTGGCTATAGCTGAGTAGCAGATAAGTATGATCAGGAGAGGCAATACAAAATTCAGTGCCATTTCCAGAGAGTCAGTGGTGATCTTAACCATTTTTCCCCAGTTTGTAGGAAAAATGGAAAGACATACATATCTTCCATGGAAATATGTGACTGTCCTAAAAATCAGTTCAGGAATGCAAAGAAGGAAGGCGACCATCCAGACAAAGGAACATAGCTTCCTTGTTGACCTTGTGATTGGATGACTTTGTGGTTGGATGGTAGCATAGTATCTATCAATGCTGATACAGGCCAGAAATTGCATGCTAGCGCTAAAGTTCATGGCATATATAGCTGCAGTGATTTTGCATAAGGATATCCCAAACACCCATCCATGAACAGCATTTCCAGCCCAAAAAGGAAGAGTAAATAACAATAACAAGTCAGCAATAGCCAAGTTAAGAATGTATATGTCTGTCTTGGTCTTCCGTTTTTTGAAGTAGGCATAGATTGCTACTACTAAGAAATTTCCAGCAACTCCAACAAGGAAAACAATAGAGTAAAATGTTGGTAGGAATGACTGATTGAAAGATCTCACTTCTTCTTTGATGCAAATCATGTCATGTACAGAGTAGTCCAAAGTATCATTCAGGTTATCATAGTCATAGTAGTCATAGTAGTCATCTGAAATGTTTATATGATACTTCATGGAGGAATCTGGCAGGGGATATAAGATGCTGTTGTTATTTATGTTTGAAAAAGAAAATATTGCTGCAGTTGCCAGTACAGAATAAAAATTTAAATTACGGTCCCTCTATTACAAACATTTAGACAATGGAACTTAAATACATGTTGAGTTAAACATGAGATTGCCAGAAACACATGGATACTACTGGAAGTAGCAATATCATGCAGGGCAGTAGAGAGAGAAAGTGGGTCCCCACCAAAACAAGCCCATGTCATCTCAACTCTTATGCACATGCCATTGGCCCCAACACTGGCCTTTCCATATTCAGCAGAGTCCTGTTCATTCATAGATTTGGACAAGGGCATCCTTGTGTGTTCGTGTGTGTGTGAAAAAGGTCAAGATGGTGGCTAAGATGATGTGTCAGCTGACATTCTGACTGTTTGAGCCCTCTGCAGTTGCCCCTGGATCTGAGGCAATGGTAGGATCCTAGTGTTACTTCTGCAAGAATTAGATGTGTGATTTTTTAATTTTATTTATTTATGAAATGTATACATTGCCTCAGTCCAATTGGACTCCAGGTGGTTTAATTACATATAGAATAAACTACAACAACAACAAAAATAATATAATTATATAAAATATAAATATGTATAACTAATAAAAACTAAAGCTTACATCGATGATTCTGGAATTGCACCTGAAGGGCCTTTTGGAAGAAGCCAGTCTTTCCAACTTTCCAGAATGCCATAAGAGAGGGCCCTTCCCACCTCAAAGGAGAAGCTATTCTATAGGAGGGAAGCTTCTACAGAGAACTCCTACCTTTAGGTCCCCTCCTGTTACTCCTCTTGGTAGGTGGGGACCCTGAACAGGCATTCTCTGACTGCCCACAATGAGTGGGCAGATCTGATCAGGGAAAGGCAGTGTGTTTTCCAAGCTACTTGAGGCTTTAAGGGTTGCAATCAGTATCTTGAATTGCCCTCAGCAACATATTGGTAGCCAATGCAGCTTTTTCAGCAATATAGTAACAGGGCGGAGAGTACTGGGATTGACCAGTAAGCAGGCAGGCCACTGCATTTTCAACCAACTAAAGTTTCTGGGTGGTCTTCAAGGGTGGCCCGATACAGAGTGAATTACACTAATCTGAACAAGAGATTACAAGAGCTTGAGTGACTGTCTTCAGTGTATCTGGTTCCGTATGAGGTTGCAACTGTCGCACCAGCCGAAGCTCTAGAAAGGCCTTCCTGGCCAAAACTTCCACCAGCTCCTCTAGCAGGAGCTGTGCGTCCAGGAGGACCCTCTGATTGTGAGCCTGCTCTCTCTGTGGGGAGCACAATCCCCCTGAGAGTTAAATTGTATAGTGGTGGAATCAGCAGCCTTCTGAATCAAAAGCTGCCTTGTCTTGTTTGGGTTGAGTGTAAGTCTGTTTCTTCCCTTCCGGGCTCAAATGGGCCAGTCACTTTTTCTGTACTTTCTCATCTCATTCCCACAACCAATTACGCTACCTAATAAAGGTTTTTTTCCCCAGAAGCATATTTATCCATTGGACCATAACATAGTTCTTCAATTATCTTTCAGTTACTACCTTTCACTGGAGCATAATGTGCAGTTATCATCAACATAGGAATTAAAACTCTCATACTCACCAACCCAAGACGCCAATTTATATTTTCTTACTTACATTTTAGCGTTTTCACTGGAAGTGAAGATACTGGTTTAATTATAAATCTGCTCCACAAGACGACCGACCACCTTCATTCATACCAATTATATCCTTCCCCTTCTTCTTAGCTTCACAGACACATATTTTTCTTTCTTTCATTTCATTACTAATGCACTGTTGCCTGCATCTAGGAGGAGCATGTAGTGTACTGATTCACACTCAGGAAATACAGTCCTCTAGAAATAAGTCTCATTCACTTCTGATTTTTGTGTGGGTGTAGCCTGTGCATTCAGCTTTGGTTAAAATTCATTTTCAAGATTTGGTCCTTACAATCAGTGTCAACAAGTTGACTATACACCAGTTCCATTTCTTTTAATTTTGCTGAGGCTGAAATAGGACTTCCATTTTCTCAACACAAACAACTGACTAATAGTTTCCTTTCATTAATCTACAAAACGCCCAAATACTTTTTAAAAAAAAAAAAAAAGGCCCAGACCCAGAGGGTCGTGTCAGATCTAGTGCGTATGTATGGGAATTTTCTGCAGAATTTATGTTCACAATTAAAGCTTGTTCTCAAGCTTCCACAGGTCTCTATGTCATCCAGCTTCCAGATTCTCCAGAAGTGGTTGCCTAATTTTAGTTTTAATATGACACTATGAAATATATGACTGGAAAATCCTAACTGGATTTAGTGCTAACTCAAAGGAATGAAATCATATTTGGATTTTATTCTGATCCCACCCATTACATTTTAGGGTACAGCCCTGGAATGCCATCTGATCCAGAAAATTGTCTGATGGGACATAAGAAATCTTTCTGTCTGTCCACATATATCTTTCTCATTGTTAAGATGGGCAGTTTGCTAATCACTGCCAGAATGACCAGCAGTAAATGTTCTCTCTTTTCCAAGGATTTGTAATCTTAGTCAGTTAGAAATTATGTATCAATTTAATAACTAACCTGTTTCTTGGAGCAGCAGGAGCTGAAGTTCTGATTCCTGCTTCTGGAATGTTGCTTTTTGTTCTCTGACTCAGGAGTTTGTTCTTCTTCCAACACCACGCCTCTTACTTCCAGTGCACACGTGTTTTTCCACTCTTCGTTTTCAGTAATAATTGTGCTGTCCTGGAAATCAGCTGGTGCATCTGAGCCAGGAGGGAGTTCAGATTTGCTTTAAAATGGACAGGCAGATACTTCTTTGAAAAAAAGAAAAGGTTTGGCAAACTGCTGATCTAATTTTGGTTGTAGGGCTGGGGTGGGCAACTTTTACCTGTGGGCTGCATTTCACAGGAATAATGTGCTGTGGGTCTTGTTCCAGTGGCGGATGGGACTGAAGCATTGATGAGCGGAGTCAAATGAAGGTCATCCCATTTTTTCTGACAACCCCCCTTTCCCCCTTTCTCTCTAGTTTTCCTTCTCTTTCTTCTTGTCTAGGCAGCAGTCTACAAGGAAAGGGATGAATAGCCCTTACTAGTAGTCTGAACTGATCACTTCCTGAAGTTAGACTCAAGTCTGCATAGAGATAAGCCTGAAACCAGATGCAGGTATAGGGCCTCAGCTACCCAGTCTTGCTATAGGATGAACACTTAGTTTTGAACGTAGGTGTCTGATTCGTATACTCCCACACCCAACTTGGTTGATTGCAAGTTTATGCTCAAGAAAGCTAACACACGTCTGAATGTACAAAGTAAATTATTACTCAAATTTGTGTTTTTAGGGTGTATTTTGCTTTATGTACATTAATGGCCCAGTCCAAAAAAAAAAAAAAAAGCTAGTAACATTGGCCTGTTTGTGCATCAGTGCTGGCCAGCTAAACCTTCTGGAGTTCTGCCTTAATGCAAAACACTATCTTATACCAGCATAAAGCTGTTTGTACATCTGGCTAGTATTATTTGTCCTGCTTGGTAGTGGTTCTCTAGGTTTTCACACAAAGAATGTTCTCTTTACCTGCTTCTTTTTAATCAAATTTACATATTTACTAGAAAGCAAGATCTATTGATGAAGGTCACTTTATTTCCTTCCTTGAAAAGTTATAAATATTGTAGACTCTTAACGCAATGATAAAGCTTTCCACCAAGAAATCCTTTTTGTGTTCATTTTCCAGGAGCTGGAAATCCCAACTGCAAATTTGCTATTGTAATGGGCAAAGATAAAAACACTTCTGCATCCAGGTAAGAAGAAATGGTCAATTTGTATTTTGGATGCAAAGTGTATGGAACAAGAAAGAACCCTCATTTTGGTCTAATATTCTGTGGAGCAATTTTCTACAGCACTCATAACCCTGCAACTAAGAGATTGCACTTCTAGGTTGCTGCTCCAAGAACAACTATCTATCGATGAAGGAAAAGTGATAATAAATGTTTAGACATCATTGTTGATCCAGAGTGTCTTACTAGATCATATTCTGTATTCAACCTCACTGATTACCTTTGTTTCAATTAGATATAAACAGCATAGTATGATTATTGTGCCAATGGATACACCAGGGGTGAAACTTATAAGGCCTCTTTCAGTCTTTGGGTATTTTGGTAAGTGGAGTTGTCAGTTACTTATAATTTGAGTGCTTGAAGTTGTGTCTGATTGTTTGTCTGATGTCTGAGGTGTAGGAGGGGAGAGGGGACTGGGGGCTGTGTTTCATGTATGTATGGATCTGTATCTACACCAGTGTTTCTCAGCCTTAGCAACTCTAAGATGTGTGGACTTCAATTCCCAGAATTCCCCAGCCAGCATGGGGAATTAAAGTCCACCCATCTTAGAGTTGCTAAGGCTGAGAAACACTGACATATACTATCTATATCAAAAAAATCAACCTGAGCTGCAGTGAGAAGAAATAGATGGGATGCAATGGGTTCCCTGGAGTTCTGATGGAAGTCTGTTGTAAAGTTAATATAGTGAATTTTCTCACTTTATGCTCAGCTTGGATGGATGGATGGATGGATGGATGGATGGATGGATGGATGGATGGATGGATGGAT